TGGATTCAAGAGAGTCGGTGACATTCATGAGCTAGCTATGGCGGGATTCAGCTACAGATATGTAGTGAAATTCTATTATCATGAGAGTGAGTGGCGAGGAAACTCAAGCGATAAAAGTATATCTAGAAGCTATTTGAATGTCATGTAGACAAGAGATCAGTTTTGAACCTTTCAGATGGTCAAAGATTCTACTGGCTTCTTCAACAAGCAGAGATAATAATGACAACAATTCAAACTGAAAGTCTTGGCGAGCATGTGAATGATTATCGTGTAAAAGGAATTTCACAAGTACTTTCACAATTATGGGAACTTTGATTTCGAGGGAGAGATTCAAGGATGGAATGTATTTTGAATAGTATTCTTATTCGTTTGGTTGATTTTTTCTAAAAACAGTAGTTCGTTTCTCCTGAATACACGTATTCAGGAAGAAACGAAGGAAGTAAAATATTCATTACACTTAAATGCAAAAAAAAAGAAAAAGGAGGAGGTTGACATGGAGATCGACAGCGTAATGCTTTTTAGATTATTATTAAAGAAAATCGATTTATTTAGCAGAAGTGAAGGGAAAACCTTCTTAAGTAATACAGGAATGAATCAAAGCGGGTAAGGTGGGCTTCGGCCTGAATATCAACAATTTGGGATCATCACCAAAGCACGAAAAAAACTACCCCCTGGAGAATACAGGTTATATATTTCCACACCAACTTGAACGAGAAAAGTTTGAGGAGAATGGTTGATCTTATCGAGCTACACCGACTCTGTTGTTTTCTTGAAAAGACAAGGAGGTAATCTAGATGTTGTCCAAATATGGGATTCTTTTTGAAGCCACATGAGACCTATATGTTACAATATATATCAGCAGGAAGACTTGAGCTTCATACTCACTCATGTCCTGATAGGTGTAGAATGAACAGCAAGTATTAATCCTAATGATTTTGAATCTGATGATATTATAAAACATGATATAATATCATCATAATGATGATATAATTTGAATAGAATAAAACATGGAAAGTTGAACTGGAAATATTTATAATTTCAATCAGAAGAGTTTCTTTTGGTATGTGCTGTATGAAACAATTTTTGTTCATAGCTTAATTGTCATTAACATTGAAATATTACTGACTCGTTCACCTTGCTATGTGATGTGTTCACATAAGTGAAGTTATTCTTGCATATGTTACAAGTGACAAATGTTTGACTGAACAAAATCACGGTCATGAAGTCCGGAGGAGCATATGAGATAATCAAATATGATCGGCGTGGTTTATATTTGTTTTTGGAGAGACAAGTCAAAGTCAAGCTCAAGGCTACGGGACTATGCAAAACGTTCAGGCCAAAATCTTTGAACTATTATGAAAAGAAGGAAAAAAGAAGAGAAGAAATAAGTTTGGTTGTTATAGTTCATTTATGAAATTTTTTAACATATTAGAACCTTTCAATTTATAACGTATAAAACTCTCTTTTTAAAAAATATTTATAGAATAGTTCATCAGTCTTTTCAAATCACACTTTCTTTGCTTGAATATGATCTAAAGTTTCAATGATCCGTTAAAATAATTATACTAGATTTTTTACTTGTATTTATTCAATTCAAATGAAAAATATTAAATTCAAAATTTTATTCATGATAGTATCGATTACAATGATTACATTTATCATTTCTGAAAAATCAGGTCATATAACATCGAATGGATATTTATGCATGAAATTGATGCACTTTGTCAACTATCTCAGTAATTTGTTTCTAAATTCTCCAAAAAAATCTACTGTATCATATCTTTTTGTTCTTGCTTCCACCAAAATTATGATATTATATATGAAACAGTTGAATTTTGCTGTTTGTTTTTTCAAACATGCATATCAATCCATAAATATTTGCACAAATGCCTAAATGATCAATATTGTGACTAATTTTACTCATAACAATGAAATCAGAATACTTTGTTAGACAAAATTTCTTATGATGGACACAATTGCGTTATCCAAATGACACAACAAACACAATTCCAACCTTTGCAACAAAGTGAAACACAATATAAACTTTCTTCTTTTCAATGAGTGTGAGTCTAAAGATGTTTTAGAATCCGTGACTTAAAACTCTACTTTCTTGGTATCATAAAATATTTATTTTATAATGTGAAATACCTCTGTATCGTAAGATAATAGTAATGTGTGTGTGTATATATATATATATAACATCCTTGGACATTCTACATATTGTTTTATCTAAATAATGTCATTTTAGAGTTCTTTCAGATAATGGTTGTATTTTATTATAATATATCATCTGTGATGCATTGAGGATATATTATTCCTAAGATGAACGTGTTCAATCTTGGAATTATTCCGACTTCCTTTGACTTAATATGGAAGATAATTGGAAACCCACATAAGTGGGTTAAGAGTTGGGTGGGGATGGGGGTGGTGTGGGGGTTCTGGTAGCGGATGTGGTACACTTGTCTGCAGAAAGAATGATATAAGTACTTCGTAAGTCAGTTTTCCAGGATAACTGAAAACACTTAAAACACGAGGACAAGCGTTGCATTTTATACTAGACCGCCAAATCCCTGTCCTTGAGGACTTCTTCGTTACTCGAGGACAAGCTTAGGCTCAGCCAACCAACGACTATTATATCATCATATGTCTCTCGTGAAGAATGTTTCTAACTTCCTACCCCCTGCAACATGAGGTCCGAGGATGCTGATTCACGTAGTGTTAGCAACCAACTTCCTTCCAGGCGACAAGTGTAGACCAGGCATCCAAGAGGTTCTGTTTTGTCGAGCTCGTGGTTAGGTGGCAACCTTGGATGCTTAGGAGGAACCTAACACAATGTATGAAATGAGTACACAATATTTGGAGCTGGATTTGATTGCTTTTCAGCACAAAAATCAACAAACTCGACAGATCTGACACCATTCTATCATGACGTTCTCTAGCTTTAACTGTAAGTGCCAAAAAGCCCGGGAGCTCATAAAATACACCCGGGTCGAAACGGCAAATGGACCTACAATGTAGGTGTAAAAAGTTCCGCAGAGATTATGTACACAATGTTGTACAGAATATACTGTCTGACGCCCTCGGACGTTCTGTAGTTCGTAGTTTCTACTGCTGCCAGTCTGCCAGAAGATTTGAAAGAGCTGATATCAATCAATCTGATCAGTTGATAGCGGGATGGTGTCGATTATATTCTTAGTTTGGACGTGAGACACTGCTCTCGCCTTGTACGCCACGTTGTAATTTGGTCGACGTCCCCTCGCCGGTGATTGGTCTACGTACTTACGAGAACATTGAGACGGACAAACGGCCACTCTGACACCCTTGAACTTGTGGATCAAAAGTGCAAGTTTGTCTCAAAGTCTGTTTTGATGTTATGGTAGTCTTCCAATCAGATGGATAGAAAATGATCCAAAGGGTGTCCATACTCAAACAATGACGGAGCCGGATTTGATCAGGAATAATTCTGCCTGCACTCCCCTCATTGGCTACAAGCATGACCACGCTCTTGTATTATATGTAAATCGTCTTGCGATGAGCCTTAACTTGCAATATGATTTTGGCAATTCTTGGCTTTTACGCTTCAATAATTGGACACTGTAAACCGAACCATCAGCAAACGGTCTCTTGAGATTCCTACTCTGGCCATTGTTTTGTCTCTGTCAAACTACACCCAAAGTTCCATTTACCGAAGGCAATCATTTTATGCTCCTGCTTCTATCATTCTGTCGTTTGATTATGCCTGAACTTTTTACCAGCTTTATAAGGGATAAAGCTGTACTAACATTAACATGTATCATTGGGTGTCCGCTACAAGGAAGTCTTTAGTCAAATCTTAGGTCCTTTCGCGGGCTGTCTTAGAGTAATCTCACCTGACTCAGCCATTTCCTTATGCGTTATAGCTAGTACCAGCTATCTTAAGGATACTCGGTTAAAAGGTACAGCACGCATCCATGCGCGTTCCTTATAGCACTATGATATCGCTTACGTCACAATCCCATGCCCGGGTTCAGACTCCCCCAAAGGAAGCTTGCAAGTTAAAAAATTACAGAATAATCAATGCCTGCATGTTTGGTACAGAATCAACTTCCATTGTCGAAGCTGAGGATTTGTCGTACATGTACTACAGTTTATCACTGTGAAAGAGCGAACAGAGAATTGTCCAAAAGTACGTTCGGGTCTATCTCTAGCCAGTTCTGGAAAACCGAAGCTATTTATCTGAGTGAGGCGAGTGGTTGATCAAGCTTGACCTCCCACTCCTGAGGGAACACTTGTGCGGAACCGTCCGAGGCATGGATTCTGCCTAAAGTTGAAGCTGTAAACAATCAGTTTTCTTCTCTCCTTCGTCTTTCTTCGCTAACTACCGGTTACAGCACAAAGTGTCGTGCAGCCTTCCTGATTCCAGAGGCAACGGAGAACCTCGAAAGCTCAGGAAAGGCGAGAAAAGGATTTGAATCCTGCATTAGCTGCAGCTCGAGAGCCTGTTGGAGCCCGCACATGTAAGATTTTGTACTACTCGACTGACCGACCAAGAGTGATATGGGTAGCTGGTATAGACCTTCTTTCTGGAAGAGTGTAGTAGGCCTTTGGGACCAGGAACATTGATCTGGAAACAGCTGAAAGTACTCCAAAACAGCCGACTTCATTCCAGCATTCAATGCAGTCATGTGCAACTTTACGACTGAATTTGTGGCCAACCATACTTTTAAGACGTACCTGCACGCGTCTCACCATCCCAGTTGCAACTACGTTTGAAGTCCGACAGATATCACATGAGCGATTGTCGCATTAATATATTGTCCCGTCTTCTCGCACTTTATGTCATCAAAAGTTTGTACCTAGTCTGTTTCACATTTCATTTACATCAGAATGATGTGCACAAATTTCCCCCACCTTTCATACACCGCAGTCTGTTGCCGTGAGTGAGCAAGTTACCTCGGTTGAGCCCACAGCTGAATGATTGATAGTGATTCGAGCAATCATTTTGTTCGTATAGAGCCCATCTCTGGTAGTGTGGCTTCAGAATCAAGTGCGTTCAGTCAAAGCGGCGCGCTATTTAACTTCTCCAATCCTCCCTGTCTGCTCTTCTTCACGTTTACGAACTTGTTGTGCCCCCTCCACTCCTCCACACACTCCAGCCGTCTGAGAAATTTCTTGGGACCTAGTCAAGTGGGGAATAATTTCGATGCGGGACCTGAACTTACCTAGGAGTAGCTGGAGAGCACCCTGCACATTTGCTTTACAGAACTGTTAGCAGTTATCAGGCTTCTGGAAACAGTTGCATGACACTTTCGAAAAGCTCCTTTTGTGTGGAGGAACAAGGCTTGCCTAATGGTCATTTGGTGCTGACTGTAACAGGAGGTTATCAATCTTTACGTGACACATTACAAAGATCGTGGTTTTGATTATGCAATCCGACCACTGGCGCGTACAGACAGTTGAATGCATTGCTGCTCGGTTGAAAACAGGGGAAAGTGCAAATAGAAGGTGGACAGTCGGTCCAATCGTTTAGTGTCATTCGAGAGCTCAGACTGCTAATGCACATCTCCTTAAGAAGGTGCACGTGTAATGGAGTCAAGAAGGCGCGGTGATCTGAAATGGGCATCGCTTCGGTGTTTTTTGGTTCTGGCAGCGGCTCTTCATTGCTCTGCAGGTGGTGTATAGTTCTTTCCTGACCTCTGGTTTAGTCTCACATTTGAGAAGAATGATGCACTAAAAGCTGTGCCAATAAAAAGTACAGCTTTTCTGTCTATTTGTGATATTAACTTACATGAAATTTGCGTAGACAGTTCAATAGATTGTTGTAGAGTTCGATTATAGGTTCTTAAGCATTAGCATAGGCATAGTCGTCGGATCTCAGATGATATGAGTTTTATCTATGAGTATCCTCAGTAATCATATGTATAAATTACATATCACATCGTTGAAACATGACTTGATGCTTTTAAATCTGCTGTGGAGATCTTCACAGCTTACACATCAGTAGCTGTCATTACATCGTTTTCGTAGATTGATCTAACTCCTCATACTTCTAGTATTGTTCTTAGTGAACGCATTGATCCCAAAACCTGCGCTGTTTGTCATTATTCACAAATCCCGAATTAGAAAAGAATGAGAGAAAAATCCTCCGTTGCAACAGGAAGAGATAAGAAATACAGAGCATGAGCTATCTCTGATTACGAAATTCTACTAACAACGTAATATTCATTCCCATTAGCTAACTTCTTGCAATATGTCCTCCAGATCTTTGAGCTCAATGAAATAAGATTCATCAGCGAAGCATGTGTCAAATCAGTAGGTTCCGTGTTTTCACCTCATGTCAATCATTGATAGGTTCCTGTTTGGATCATCTGAGCTAACAACTCGTTACTATGTTGGATGCACATTCAGGTCGAGAAATCCGAACAACGGATCTCGCTACTTTTGCACAAGGATCCCATAAACCTGTCAATGTACGTGATGATAACCAATTGTTTCATTATAAGTAATCCCTGGACTTCGAATTTCTATATGTGGATTTATGGGAGGACAGAGAAGATCTTCGAAATTTAACAGTTTTCAGCATTTACATTCGATGTTTGTTTCGTGCCCACGAAGACTCACTAAGAAATATACGTCATTTTTCATGGCAGGTTGAGTCGAAAGCAGTGTCTGGCGCAAAGGAGGACTCTGCCCAGGAAGTTTTTTCAATGGATTATAGCTACAATCCAGGAAGTCCTAGACCCGTGCCACAGGCTCCAAGAGGTCGCGCCCCACGCATTGGTGTACCGCCGTCACCTCCCACCACCGACATCACTCCTCAAGTTCCTCCCCCTCCTATAATTGTCACACCAAGCCCCCCTCCACCTGCATCCGAATCATTCCCCCCACCGACACCTCCTTCGAATCAAGTCCCTCCATCCCTCCAACCACCATATGTCTCCCCGCCTAGCTTCATTCCGCCTCCGTTGTTTGGGGCGCCTCCATTGCCACCATTGAGTCCATTTCCATTTCCACTAATCCCTCCTCCCCCAATAGGTTAGGTAAAGCAAACTCAACACTGATTGATATTTGTTCCTGCTATGGTGAATTCAATTGACTAGTTCAATGTCCCAAGTTCGGATTCAATGTTAGAGGCGACATGGGCTCTGCGAAGCTTGATCAGTTACATCACCGTTAGATGCCCAGGGTCAATTTCAAGAGAACTCTCAACATCAGCTGCACAAAGCATCAAGCCTGCTTCTACATCAGCTGTGAGAAAGCTTCGGTGGTCAGCTGTAATTTTACCGCTCTGTCCCTTTTACATTAGAGTCACCACTAGGATGGAAGAGGTTCGCTTGAGGTTTATAACGAGTTGCACTTCTACCAATAGGACATCTGTTCTGTAATTTATATTAGAAGCGTCCGTTGTTTCTAGATCATGAAGCCTGGAGATGCCTGAGTTCTCACTTGTTACCAGTCGGGCCGAGGAGTGTTACATAAGCATATCTCCAATCCGTGTACAGGTCATTAGAGCTCCAGTAACATCCCTGCTTTAGTAGCTGGGGTGCAAGCTGCACTGGATGAACCAGTTTTCATTTGTTCCTCAAAGTCGTATTTGATCTGTTGAAGTTAACATGACAAATATGATTCGTCTAAACAGAAGTATAAATCTCGCTATGAAAGTGAGATAGTGTTATCTCATATATAAGAGCGATTCATTTTTGTTAGCAATTGTGGCGGAATGTTCTGGCTGCCATTTACTTATGGACTAAGTTCTATTTCTTTCAATCTTCCTATTGGCACTGTGAAATCGACAGTTGTTGGACACAATCTCCATAAATAACTGTGTATGCAGCTCATAATTAAAAATACCATATTTTCCTGTCTCAGATTTAATCCGTGTGAAGCCAGTGCTGGACACTGTGCCTCAAGACACATAAACATCAGTCAGAGTATCTTGATAATGCCGATATGTCGGCAACCGTCTCAAGCTTCGCATCTGTTTTCTTTGAACCTGTCATGTATTGGTCGCTCATCAAAGGGTTGTAGATTTCTTACCAATTCTGCCAAGACCAAAGTATCCATATGCAAAGTATTTAATTGGCTGTACTCTATTCAGCCCGATGAAGTGTTTGGAGGAACATAGTTTAACCATGTTGCACATGGGATAGTTACTGAAGACAACAGTAGATGCATATTGTGTTATACTGAATACTGGAGTCATCATGCTTCGAACTGGACGACCGACATCATTAAATCATGTCAACCAATTCTTTCAATTCAACGAGATTGATTGCTGTTTATGGAATCGATCTGGTTCATACGGGACGTTGCAATGATATAGACATACTTCGCACAATAACTTCCTGAGGGTGTAAATTTACCCAGGGTGTGAACTACGTTTATGTCGGGTTGCTCTAGGGACACTCAACACAGTTTCCAGGTTGTTGACTGAGTTTCTTATTTCCAAGAATGGAATTCTTACACAGTACGTGAGTACAGAGACTCAGGGTTTGCATTGGTGGAATTTGTGCCAAAAAACGTTGACCGACATATTTTACTGTTCGTAGTAAAACGAAATTATTAACTGCTTCCTGAGCCTTTGGAAGACGTGCCGATTATCTCTTCCAGGATGTACTGAATCATCTTGGTGGAAGTTAATTTATATATGGGCGGTCTGTTTCGTTCACGTTGGTACATTCTACGCATCTAGTCATTTGACTTCTCATACCACAATTTTATTTTTGTTCGGATCTGAGTTGATAATGTAAATCATTCACCATATTTCTATGTCGGATTTATATGTGGCCCCGAGCTGTGAGCACCACGCCGAGACTTACACGTCAATCCAATGACAACAAAGTTTTCAACTGACACTAGGCTTGATGTATTTGCATGTGCACGTCACAACTATACCTCAATTATCGTCATCATAATCTGAACGCAATACAAGATACAGTACTGTGATGCTCTTCAATCATTATGAATGCATAAAAATTTTACCTCGGCTGTAACTATGTATAAGAACTCTCTCCGGAGCCGGAAATGATTGACTAGAGAGTGTAGCAAGTCATCCATTCCAGCTAGTTGAAGTGAAGGGCCCCTTACCTGAGCACTGGTAGAATCAACTCCGCCTTCTAATAAACTATTGTTACTTTCCTAACCATTTTTGAAAATTTGAGGCACAATAAAATTCTTCTGTCTGTTCTTGATTTCTTTTGTAGGTATGGAAGCGCCGAAATCAAACCTCTTTCAAGTTAACTCCTACCCACACAAACACAAACTCTCCTATACAGCTTTTTTAAAATTATTGTCCACCCAATTCAGCTATATTGATGGAGTAACTCCATCATCTAGGGAGGTGGTGGACCTTGAGGATAATTTAACTACCTTTTCCTTTCTCTACAATTTCCTTGTCTTTATTTATTAATAACAAATAATTTTGTATTAAGAATTTGTGTCTGCTTTTATAAAAGTGATTAACTACAACTTGATCTTAGATGCAGCACTCATTTCTAAGAGAAAAATGTTTTAAATGACATATTCAAGAACAGACTTTAGGCAAGACTTTGGTTTAGATTTTGTTAAAAGATTTGAGATCAATTCTCTATAAAAATCCTAAATCAGAATTGAAGGTTTAAGCAGATAATAACCACCTGTTTCAAGTGGGCCGCCATTCCACATATATGCTTATAGTCTTCCTCTGGAAGAATTTGGACACTACAATAATTACCTATGTTATCATTGATGAACAAAAATTGAGGTGTAATTCAAATCAATATAACTTTACTGAATCTTGTGATAACAAAGAGATAAGAATCTCGTCTGTAAAAAATCTTTCCATCCAAAGAAGATATTTATTTCTGCTTGGTTTTCAAGGTATCATTTAATCATTCCAAAATATTCCAAAATTTAAATTGCAATGATTGGATGATTTAAATTTATGAGATTTAATATTAAAATTTTAAATCTCATAAAATGGGATCTCATTATACTACACATGGGATGGATATGAGATTTCAAAGGTAAATTTGCCCTTGAAATCTCATATCCATCCCATGTGTAGTGTCCAGTATATACATTGATATAATTTCAAACATACATTAAGTGTACATCAATTGAACAACACTTTTTTTTGAAAATAATATTTATGATGAAACAGAGTATTTTATTTCAATGACATGTCATTTTATGCTAAAAGAAATGCTTACATACCGCATAAGTTTTCTAAGCTAAATATTTTTAATTCTATATGTGTTTTTGTGAAAATCTGTAGATGAAATTTTGAATCAAGAATTTTTATATGTGATTATTATATTTTATGGTTGAAATTTAACTTCACAGAATCACAAATATATGAAGGTTTTATCTCCGGATATTATGATGATAAATTAATTTTTATATGCATGCTTCAAGCTTCAAGCTTGAAGCAAATTAACATGAATTTTTTTAATACCATGTAGATACTGCTTATCATAAATGGAAAAAAGTTAAATATTATATTAAAAGTATATATAACTATCTGATTTTTACTAATAATCAAACCAATCGCTACGTACTTCTTATATCACAAAGTCAGACAATACTTTCTATGATGTATAATACAATTTCACATGTTTAAGAAAAAAGGTTGAATTTTTATTCGGTTGGATGTTGATGATGTAATAAAAATATATTTGTATGTAGATAAAAATAATTTAATGATACAGTCATTCCTAACAATCAATATTCATGTGCGAAGTGTTGTATCTTTTGCTATTGAGTAGATCTTATTTTAAAGCATAGTTTGTGACTCTTAATCATTCAAACAACTTCACATCAAAATCTGTATAATCCAAACATGATGAAATAATCATATTTTAGCTGACTTGATGAGTATGATTACTTTCTTTTTTTCAATATTGTTTTACATCAAATCATCATGGTTTGTGCACATACAATGATTTTTTGTTAATAGTCAAAGGAAAAAAAATCATGATCGAAATCACTTCATAAAAGCAACGAACTGAAGTATTGTATATTTTAGACACATAACAATATTTTCATATACAGATATATCTCAGAAGAAAAATATTTTGAATACGTAGCTTAAATTAAAATTTAGATTTTCAATTGACATTCAAAAATGGAAATGGAAATATAATTTTCTGAAATAAAATAATTGATAATGTAATAAATATTTAAATATATTATATTCAAAAATCGATTCAAATAATTTATTCAAATAAATCGAAAAAGAAATGTCAAAGCGAGCATTTTTTATACGATTGACACATATATTTTGTCATTTTTTCCAGCTATGTTTACAACCACGAAAAATAAGAACTCAAAAATTAAACTTGCATTATATTCTGAAGAGGTTTCATGTAAGCTCTGATAGATGACATCAAGTAACCTAGTCTAAATAATCTACTCTAACTAATTATAACGACAAATAAAAAAATTTGAGTTATATGTGAATAATTTTTTATTGAACCATGTAAATATTTTATGCTATTTTTTATTATTACTATAATATTAAAACCTTCAACTTATATTTTTGAAGACACGGACTAAATTTAACATGGAAAATGTACATAAGGACTAAGTTAAAATATAACAAAATAAAATAATCAAAATAAAAAATAAGTCTGAAGTTAACAATTTTATTTTTTGTATTATATTTGCAATCTGAAATAATATTATGAAAGTAAATGCTTCGGGAGGGCCACTCTGAGTGCTTCGGAGTTTTTTCAAAAATTTTTGTTTATAAAGACAGTAGTTTCACTTAATGTATCATCAAGATTGAGTAGGTCAAAATTTTTCTAAGAACAAGTGTTGAAAATTTTTTAAAAAGCTGATGTGAAAAAAAGAGAGAATATATATATTATTATTTTCAAGTTATTTTTTCAATGAAAATATGTAAGAAATTATTTTTATGTTACAGTGAAAAAAATTCAAATTTTCAATGATGATTATGATTCATACCATAAATATATTATAGTAATCAGACCTTTTTAAATTATTATTTTTGCTTTCGTATGAAAATGTGTATTTGAAATGCTTTACAAAATCATTTTGTGTATATTTAACGTAAAATTACATATTTTATTTTTTAATTGCACTATTATTTTTGGTGGGGCTAGTTATCCTTCACTTAGGGCTAATTAGCTCTCATCCTACTATACAGTATTATGTGATTGGTCGAACACCCTATGATTTCTATTGCATTCTTACTACCTACAGCTACTACTACCCTGCATCGACCAATAATAGAACTGACTACCTTGCATGGACGAATAAGAGAATTGTGTATAGTAGACTGAGGGCTATATAGCTCTAAGTGAGTGATAACTAGCCGTTAACTTATTTTTTCATATAGTCTTTTTATGTTTGATGTATTGAAAATCAGAAAAGTCATCTTCAAAATACTTATCACTAAAAAATATAGCTTTTGAATTCCAAGTTACATTCATTATCTTTTGATATTTATTCAGTTATTGAAATTATGAAATAAATAAATGTTAAAAAATTAATTGATAATAATTATCTTTGATTTTTTTTAATGTAATTTTTATTTTATAAATCTTATCAACGCATCAATTGGATTGAATTCACAATTAATCTTGAGAAACTCAACCTACTCATTAGAAATTGCATTTTTGATAAAATGATACATTATTACCATGTGTTTCACTTTGCTATTTTGTTGAGATTAACTCAAGTTAAGGAGTAGCCTCGTGTACTAGCTATTTATAGCTAGGACATTCGTTTGGACTCGGAATAAAGAACTTGGGGTTCATCTTGTACGGGAACGTTTTCT